ACCCAGCTGCCATCCCCTCACTTTTTGCAGCTCCCACCCACTCCTGTGTGCTCCAGAAATGCCTGCTGCAAGGCCAGAGGACCTCAGCCAAGATGAGGCAGCTACTCCCTGACTTATGTCATCAGCTTCCTGAGGCTGAGGTTCACAGCTCACAAATCCCAGGCACCTGGGAAGCTCAGATGGAAAAGAAACACACAATTTCCTCTCATGTGTAAGTCTTACACTGGCATTTCTGGCCTGTAACTTTAGGCCCAAATTGCTCTTTTATTAGCCATATAGAGCACATTTTTAATCACGAGCCTTGTTATGGGAAGAGCACGCCCTTTGAAGAATGGGTTAGCTAGGAAATGACTGGTGCACTCATAAAGAAGTGAAGCAAAAACATCAGCCATCACTTGGGGCCTTCATCAATAAAGGTAAACAACTTTTGTTCTCTAGTCCCAAACCACTGGGATGATTTAAGCGAGCATTGCACTCTTCTAGCTCCCTCTCCTTGTGATCAAGGGCCATTTTAATCTCACTTGGGTCGATGTGCAGCAGACTCACAGCACAAAGGTGCCCTATCCATGGCAGCTGTGTACCAACACATACACTGACACAGGACGTCGACAGCAGGTACCCTTGGGTGCTTCTGTTAAAGGTTTTCATAGTGAAGGAGAAGAACTGAACTCCGATGAGTTTGATGGAATTACAGGCTTCTCAAAAAATGGAGGGGGGTTAGCTTTTTAAATCTTTGCCTGGTTCGTTGCAAAAATGAGCCTCATTTAAGAGCTGTCTTTACTTGTATTTGGTAAAAATCACCAGTGATTAACCATACTATGTGAAAAGAGAAGACTAAGGTGCAGTTAGGAATAACATCACTTTCAGTGTAGCATAAAATGAGCAATTTAGTCAAATGGTTGAAATATTTCACCCTGGGTATACTTCTCCTCAGAGTCGGGATCATCTGGTAACCGCTTGAAAAGTAGTTAGAGAGGAGAAAAATTAAAGGAAGAATCAACATCAACTATAAGACGCTTGGTTGAACTTGAGAAATTCTCTGATAACAGTTTCAAGCATTCAAATGGAAAAATACATCTCTACTTAATATTATTGATTTCATGTCTGGAGAAAAACCCACAGAATATTGTGTCCAAGCTTCTGGAGATGCTAACTGGAGGCAGACAGATTAATGAGGTCAAAGTCATTACTTTGTTCAGACAATGAAACTCAAACAGAAAAAACTGTTAAAAAAATTGTGGTGAAATCACTTTCACCCTCTGAAATATATTCATTTGTTTCACGCTGGTGATAATGAAGTAACCCTGAAAGTCTTTTGGTGAAATCCTGGCTTATTAAACCTGATGGGAATTTACAGAGTCAAGACTTTACTGTGCAAAGGCAATCTGGGCATTCAAAATGCTTCTGTGGCCATGACCCATCTCTTGCTTTGGTCTGAACTTGGAGGACTGATACTCTTGACTACCATTTTATGGCACTTTTACAAGGGGTAGGAGATATTCACAGGAGCTATCCTCCATCTAAGGAAGGCAGGTAGCTGTCGAGAAAGCCAAACTCTTGGAAAAAGAGGCTTGTGTAAAAAAAATCTCCCCTTCTCCATTAACAATAGAGAGATACCATGGACGTTAACCCTCACACTCCCGAAACAGGTGTGAATTCACCACGGCTATAGAACTCTATTTTTATGGAGTGCCCTATCTATTTAGCAGTGAGAAAAGGAAATCTTTGCTCAAAACACAGAATTAACCTATATGAAAGAGGCTCCACAAAAAGCCACTGAATTTACAGAAACAGTGGAGGAATAAATAGCCTTTATAGAGTTAGCCACAAAACATGAGATTAGCATTTTCAGTTCGTAAAATGTTCTCTACTTGAGCACACCTCCCAAGCAAGATTTTTTTTCATGTTTGGACTAATCAGGTCCCAAGAGTCTGGGAACATCCTGGAAGAGGATTATATCTGAAATTATATTGTCCATTGACCATTATTTTCCCTTCAGTTAAGACAGAGATGTGAATTAAATATCATTATATGTAGCAATGAAGAGGAAATTAAAAGGGGGGCAGATTAGAAGCAAGAAGCAATATTTCCTAACCGCTGAAGGAAATTAATGCTCAGTGACAGCACCTCTGGCAGTCCTGGGTGTTGAAGTCTCTGTTAACACCGGACCAGGATCTCGGTCTTTATGTACCGCTTGAGCCTGACATTTGGCCTTTCCTGACACAGAGTATAGCTGGGAAATGTCAACAGCCATAACAAATATTACTGCGTGTACCTGGCAAGTCACTCATGAAACACCCTTATGACTGTTTACAGAGCCTTGTAAGATGGTTTTGCTTTCTGGAAATAACAGATGTACCAGCAATACACTAAAATTTCTGGGTTTTTTCCCCCAGATTTGTGTGTGAACTGCCAAGGCAGGAAAGGTAACATTGCAATCGCTCCAGCCTCTTAGTTAACTGTGCTCAATTCTCCTGCAAAAACAAGAGAAAAAAACTGATGATTGGTCCATTTTTAGGTTGGGCACATTTCAGGAGGGATGCTTTTCTATTTCCAAAGGTGTCCAGCTCCTTATTTCTCTTCCAGGATGGTCTCACATAATGGAAATGTAGAAGACATACCAGTATAGGTATAAGTATATATTTTCATCTTTACCTGGTTTGCTAGGAAAAATATTTTCAGGTTTTATTTTAAGAAACAATTTTTTAAATATAAAATATGATGCAGACCAGTGCAATCAGCAGAAAGCCTGAGGACTGCAGAAAATGTATGGGCATTCTTAATGTATATGCAGTGTGCCTAATGTTTCCTACCGTCCTTTCTAGGAGCCTGATTTTCTGCAAAGTAATCTGAATACGTCATAGTGAGATTAGATTGTGTGTTCAGTGTATAGACATATGTTGCCATTTTTCCTTATCAACACCTCCCACTATTGCTCTGAATGTAAAGGTATTTCATTTGCTGAATTCAACCTGTCAACTGTAACAAATATGTCCTAATCCCGTTATATGCATCACAGTTCACTAACAACCACGTAGGAGCCACCAAGGCTTTTTCTCTTTGATCATCCCAGATTTGCACACTGGCCAAAGGCAAGAACCATGAAGTCTGCTGAGAACAGATGTGGAGAGACAACCTGCAAGGCACAACACCTAAGCATGACATATTTGATATAAATGACAATTGTTTAAAGGTTCCTCAACTTACATTTTACAAAGTCCATTGCTGTAGCAAATGCTTTAACATCCATTCTTTCCCCCTCTTTATTTCCATTTGTGCTGCTGTGCTTTCTCTGATTTCATGGTGGCACAATTGTTGAATAGACGGCTGCAACTGTGACTCAATAATTGTACCTGTCTGGTTTCCCTCTTCACCACTAATTTAGGTATTGACTTCTTTTCTTAGGAGTCTAATATTGCTATGAGATCATCATGGGAAGAGCTTATGGCAAAAAGGGGCAGAACACAGAGTTTCTATCCTATGGAAAATTCAGGCATTTAAACAATTCCTACAAATACAAACTAGAACAAAACATTACATTTTGAAAAATCTACCATTAACCAAAGATTCTGAAATATTTTGTTTTAGATATCTGTGAATGATGTACTGAAACACTCTCTTTACACAACTGAAATGTTTCATTTTAATGCCATTCTGACCTTTATATTATACAAGAATTACTTTCAGGCTCTTCTGTTTTATCCACTTACATAAAAGCCAGAATGATAAAAGTTGAACCATTTCGGTTATTTTCCTTTAAAACATTTAAAACCCGCAAAACATTGTTTCATCCAAATTTTCAGAGAGGAAGCAAGTACCTTTAGAAAGTTTCTGAGTCTTATATTGTTAAATTCCAGCTGTTGTAGAAGGACAAGTTTTTAGGTAGAAAATGTGAGCATTTCAAGATCATTGGTAGATTAATATCTTTATTTTGGTTTGCAAACAGAATCTGATTCAAAGGGGCAATAAGACGCTGTGCAGACAGGCTGCAATTGCAGATTTGTTGGAGCTATCAGACAATATTGAATGTCTCCTGTCCAAACACTGAGAGCTATGAGGCTCTATCGACTTCACTGCGGAAACAGACCACAATGAATGAGATTCAGGAAAGGATTAAAAAAGAGAGGACAACATTTCCTCATCACTAAGCAGTTCAGAAAATTTGAGCCTCCCATTCATGTTTAGAATAAAATTGCTTTCCTGGCTGTGACATTAGACTAAAATAGATGTTAAAATATATTAGCGTTCAGACTGCTGCTAGTTCTCTTGGCTAGGAGGAAGATACCATATATAATCAGTTTTAATTTTTAGATATTTATGGCAAAGCACAAAGCTGCATGGTTTGGATGACAAATATAGCAGGAAAGTTTTCCTTTTTTCTCTCTCCCCTTATCCAAATTGCTGTTTTGACTGGAACCATTGAGGGAATAACAGAAGCATTTTTTTGGCAATAGGTTTTAGAAGACAACCTCAACAAGTCCTTTAATGATTTTGCACAAAATAATGACTCAATGAATTAATTTAGTCCTCTTGTGCAAATTAACTGTTTCCAAATTATACACGTATACAAATAATTTCACTCAGAACTGAAATATTGCCAGACTTGCTGAGCAGCAAGGTGGCAGCCACAGAGACAAACGGTATAACTTTGTAGCTTGAGTAATCCTGGACAGGACACTAAGGCAAAGCATTTCTCTTGCAGTCGTTTCCATGGTATCTCAACACCCACATGCAGCAAGTAGGACATTGGTTGTTAGTCTCGTCCAAATAAATCCCACAAAGTAAATTGCATGGAACCCAATTTATCTACCTCGAAATGAAGTTTGCTGGGATTTGAACCTGTGGCTTCAGGAAAAAAGCCAGGCACTTCAAACCTGATGTGCAAATCATTCAGCCATTCTATCAGCTTTAAGACATAAATAGTAAATTTGAGATCATACACATGCATATATATATATATATACACACCCCTAAATCTATACATAGATAGCTGTACGTACATTTGCCTGAGATGCATCATGCTCATTGATTTCTGCTAATTCCTTGGTGCTTTTTAACTGCAAAGAGTAAACAAAAAAACAAAACAGAACACAACAAGCACATTACTTGAGTATTTCACACAGTTATCTTTGATTTATTTGAAGAAGCATTTTATAAAGCTTCGAATGAGAAAAACAGATGGAGCATATAATTCTAATGAGTTTTTGCTCAAACCATTCTGAAACCAACATACTTAAGGCTTGATAGGGTGGCAAAAAAAAAAAAAAAAAGGAAAATAATAAGACTGGGTCATTATTTTTTAAATAATAAGATTAGAAAGTAGTTTCAAGGCATAAAAAGTGTACAGAATGGCTCTCAAGAATAATAAACAATTTCATTTCCCATTCTTGTTGTTATTAATTTAAACTTCACAATATTTGCAAGTTGCCGCTAGCTAAATAGTGGTTTGTTAACAATTATTTTTGAATTATATATCTTGAGCTGTTTAAGATGCTGAAGTGCTACTGTATATTTCCTTCCTGAGGAAGCATCTAAATAACTGACATGGCTCCCAGGTATGAAGGAAAAGGAGGTGAAGAGAAGAACAGCTCTTTTATTTAGCCAGTGGCAGGAAGAACTGAGGAGACACTGCCAATTCCAAATATATGATCTGAACAAATTTCTTTTTTTTTTTCCTCCTGAATTAGCTTTTTGGGAAAAATCCAGGATTACAGGGGGTTGTAAAAGTGACTCCCAAAAGATTTAAGCAATGTCCTAGACTATGTCTCTAGCCACACTGAAATATGCAGTCATACACCCTGTGGTTCAGCAAACATGGAAAGCAGGAGACACTGCAGCTCTCCTGAGCCTATAAGCCATGGAGGTTTGTACACTCAAAGAAGCACTCAGAACCATTTACTCTTTAGGTAAATCTCTGAAGGGCCATGCTTTTATTCTGACTTAATTCAGAGTAGATATCTGGGGTGGGGGTCTGGTGGGAGGAGGTGGGGAACATTAAACACAACTTTTCTCTCTATTCTACTTTGCAATGTCTTAACTCTGCTGCTCTCACACTCTGTTTTCTCCACCACTTTTAATTGGTAGAACTCCTACGTATGATATGATTTCTTGTTTTTGCCAGAAAAGCTGGGATTGATGTAACTGTTGATGATACAGCTGTGATCCTGAATTGCAACAGTTCTAAAATCCAGGTGAACAGGAATACTATTATGGGGTTGTTTAGCTTAGAGAAAGAAGGCTCTGGGGAGACCTTAGAGCAGCCTTCCAGTACTTAAAGGGGGCCTACAGGAGAGATAGGGAGGGACTCTTCATCAGGGAGTGAAGTGACAGGATGAAGGATAACAGTTTTAAGCTGAAATAGGGTAGATTTAGATTAGATATAAGGAAAAAAAAAATTACTGTGAGGGTGGTGATATGCTGGCACAGGTTGCCCAGAGGAGCTGTGGATGCCCCATCCCTGGAGGTGTTCAAGGCCAGGATTGATGGGGCTTTGAGCAACCTGGGCTAGTGGAGGGTGTCCCTGCCCATGGCAGGGGGGTTGGAACTAGATGATCTTTAGGGTCCCTTCCAACCCAAACCATTCTATGATGCTATGATTTTGTGTTTTGATTAGATGTCTGATCCAGAAGCATTGGAGGACTACCACTCTAGCGTGGCTAGGTTACCTCCATCATCTTTTTGATGTGCGACAGGAACAGCTAAACTGTGTATGATTCAGGTCCCAGCTTATTGCAACCGACAATTAAGGTAAATGGGACATGGTCTCTTGTGTACCCTATTATGCAGGACTGTAAGCTGCACCGGTTGAGGAACTGCAGTTCAAGCCACTAAACCACTCCTGATGGAGAGGGAAGCGGGCAGCAATCCCTGATAAAGCAGTACAAAGGATAGCTGAGCACTGCAAACTCGTCAGGTGTCCTCGTTCAATTCACTGATGCTCATCTTTCAATGCCCTCGAAAAGTCTGAAATGTATACTGACAGCAGGATGATGCATTTCCAATGAATGCTACATGTTTTCTCTTCTCTGAAAAAACAACCGTCCTGTGAAACCACCTCACTGTGAGGATGGCTGGTAGGAATGAATGGAGATGGCTACTTCCAGTCAAGCACCAAAGTTAGGTATTTGTGCACTGCGATGAGACCAAAAGAGCCGCTTCCTGATTCTGCCAATGATTCATTATGGAAATTCACCTTACGTGAGCAGTCCTGTTGAGTTCAGCTGAATTACTCATCTGAATATGAGGTCAGGAGAGTGTGCTCAGCTATGTAAAACTGCTCTGCACACTAAGCCACATCCTGAATGCTCATGGAGTGCTGTTCATTACTTAACTTTTACCTTTCCTTTTCCAGGCTGATAAAGTGCCATCACCCCTTGGTGACTGCTGGCTTCTTGGGCAATGCTCTGCATTTGTTCTGCTGGTGACATGTCACTCCCCTGTCAGCCACATGTGCATTTAACAGGAGAGTGGGCTCAGCCACTAGCCTACCATGGTTTCCCACCATCACTGCCCTGGCACTGATCTGCTGATTATTCTAACTCTTATGCAGACAGGATGCTTGAGCTTTTCCATCTCTTTTATTGCCTGCCATGCTCTGAAAAGGGTGCTCAGGCAAGAAGGTACTAGCATCCCATCTACACTAGGACCAATGCAGTAGGGAGGTGGAGGTGAACTGGTGGAGATAATGGTGAAAAACTTGTAGGCAGAGAATGTGCAGCTGTATTCCTACAACCTAAAGGGGTAAAGTCCCCTTTTTTTTCCAATATTGTGGGTTTTTTTAATATAAACTAAAATATATTCTTCTCTCACATCCTAAATACTGAAATGTTGGAATAGGAACCTCAGAAAACCATACAATATTGGAAAAAAACGGACTTGCCTAACCACCTATGCAGGCTCCATCGCAGGCTGGTGGTGAACATGATGTTATCAGCAGAGAGTATGCAGAGGCAACGCACTGAACTAGTGCCAGTAACAACCAAGGGCCTACCTAAAAGGAAAGGAGAAGGGCTGAGGAATTATAAGTCTCTGATGCATCTAATGCTGTGTCAGGTGTAGGTCTGACACAAACCAGGGGGTGTGAATCCCTCTGACAAACCACAGGCCAGATCTGATCTGTAGCCTTTTGGCTACAGTAATGCAACATGGTGCATGAGAAAGCAGAACCTCTCCCAGCAGGCTGTGCCAGCCTGGATGTGGCTGGGTTAGTGCAACTGGATCAACATGAGATGTGCTGAGCCAGCAGATGTGCTCAGGCACAGCTGCACCTCTCTCTGCAAACATACCCGTGGCAAGGCAAGACAGGATCCCTCCACCAGCTTGAGATGAAAAGGCAATCAAGGCAGGAGCCCGGTGCTATTTATTTTTGAAATGCATGTTCATATTTGCTTGACTCTGCTGGATGAATTTCAAGACCCATTGTGGATAAAAGACACAGATGAGCTGTGGTGCTTGTAAAGGAAAGCTGGGAGCCTTGGCAGGCGGGGGTCATTACTGTTAGGTCTTCTGCAGTTCTGGAAAGTTTTGGAACTGGTTCAGGGTTGTTGGAGAAGCACACTGGCTACATAGCACTCCTTAGGAATTCTGGCTACTTGCAGTCTGGGCCTTAGGCATGCTTCAGAGCTAATTCTCAAGAGAAATGCATATCCATTCTGCCTTTCTTCCAGCTAGTGATTCCTCTGTCTGCCTAGCATGAGTGCACATTTGATTCGTAATTAGCAGGAGTCTGCAGAGATTCAAAAGTCTGCCCTGGTGGTTCCTACTGGTGCCTAGTATTGTAAGATCTTCCTATACATTTTTGCAGCATTTAATTGCTACCAAGATATAAAATAACCTCATGCAATTTCATTATTTCTTTTTTTTTTAAAGTATTATATAACACTATACCTTGAATGCCATGTAAAAATGTAAATGAGATGCCATTAACTCAAGAGATTGGGTGGATTCTGTGTTTATAAAGATTCTGTCATTAACAAATCCATTCTTCCTCATGACATTTTGTGTAATACAGTCTTGCATCAGTTCTCATTTAGAAGGTTATCTTTGTAACCGTAAGTGCTAATAACATGTACATGAACATAAAAGCTTATTTTTTTTCAGAATCTAAATTATTAGTTTCTAGAATATATTTGTCACTAGATATGTTCAAAGGCAAATGTTAGGTGTGGAACAATGTCACAGCTTATATAATGAGCATTAAAAAAATCTGAAATAAGCATAATTTTCTTTTCCTAATATGCATATTGAATGTATGTCTGTCTGCAGACATATTCAGACATACATGCTGAAAAATCTTGAACATAAGAACCATTAGCATTTTGAATCTCTGCCATCTAAGCAATTCAGATCCCACAGTCTTTAAACTGCAAATACTTAACTAAGTCACTAAATATTTTAACTCAAAGTTTATATAGAAAGGATCAAAATAAGGTCTCAAAGCAGAGACTGTGCCTGTGCAGCACAGGTGAGGATTTGTGATTTCAGTGTGTCCAAGCCACATGGTTTGTACAGACAACACATATCTGTGCACATTGTGCTTGCACAGAATTCACTGTCTCACCTCCAGATTTACAGATTTAGCACCAGATCCTTTTACTGTGTAACTATCCATCTTACCATGCTTATAAAACAATACTATCAAATACACTTCTCACTGACATAGAACACCTTAGTATCAAAGAATTATATGATAATGAGGACAGGCTGAGAGAGTTGGGGTTGTTCAGCCTGGAGAAGAGAAGGCTCTGGGGAGACCTTAGAGCAGCCTTCCAGTACCTAAAGGGGGTCTACAAGAGAGATGGGAAGGAACTCTTTATCAGGGAGTGTAGTGATAGGACGAGGGATAATCGATTTAAACTAGAAGAGGGAAGATTTAGACTAGATGCTAGGAAGAAATTTTTCACTGTCAGGGTGGTGAGACACTGGAACAGGTTGCCCAGGGAAGCTGTGGATGCCCCATCCTTGGAGGTGTTCAAGGCCAGGCTGGATGAGGCTTTGAGCAACCTGGTCTAGTGGAAGGTATCCCTGCCCATGGCAGGGGGGTTGGAACTTGGTGATCTTTAAGGTCCTTTCCAACCCAAACAATTCTATGACTCTATGATTCGATGAATCAGATTTACAGAGGTTTGCTTCTCACTGCTTGAGTAAGTGCATTGACAACTACTTTTTTAATGCCACTATGATAAAGTTTTTTGTATACTCATATCTGCATGAATAACACAGGAGATGCCAGGCTCTTTTTCTTCAATTCTAGTCTTAAAAGAAAAGACTGCTTTGTTTCAGGTATATTTAACTCTCCCAACATTTTATTTTAATGCAGAGTGAAAACACTCATCACTGATATCTGTGTAGAATAACATAAGAGGAAATGTTACTCAAAACATTAAATTCAATATTTGATAATATAAAATAAGGGTCACTTTTCACTTTGTTTTCTCAAACTCTGTGTCAGCCTCAGCTGTTTTCACAAATGCTAATCAGAGCAGACACACAGGCCACATAAGGTTATGTCTTGCTCACAGCACAGTCAGTGGTCAGACTCCTATGGATTTTGGAGGTGAAGCCACTAGTCCTCCATCCCCTCAGCATGCCCAAGCCAGCATTTAAATATGTAAAGGGTGAGTGTCAGGAGGATGGAGCCAGGCTCTTCTCTGTGACATCCAGTGATAGGACAAGAGGCAATGGGCTTAAGCTGGCACACAGGAGGTTCCACTTGAAGATAAGAAAAAACTTCTTCACGGTGAGGGTGACAGAGCACTGGAACAGGCTGCCCAGAGAGGTTGTGGAGTCTCCTTCTCTGGAGACATTCAAAGCCCGCCTGGATGCGTTCCTGTGTGATCTGATCTAGGTGTTCCTGCTCTAGCAGGGGATTGGACTAGATGATCTTTCAAGGTCCCTTCCAATCTCTAACATTCTGTGATTTTGTGATTCTCTCCCACCAGAAGTACTCACCTGTTCCTGCAGGACTTTAAGCATCGCTTGTGTATGTGTTTGCTCTTCCTTGGCTTGCTCGAGTTCAGATTTTTTGTTATTTAATTCTTCCTGTATGCTCAGCAATTGCTGCACAAAAGAAAAAAAATTTCTGGTTAGTGCTGTCTGGATCCAAAGCAGTTTTAAATCCTCAGTTTGATAAATTCCCATTTCAAGCAATGCTTTGCAGTCTGCTCCTACATTTGTTATCGTTGCATAATCTGCTGTGTCTAAATGAACCAGAAGTAAATTATTTTCATCTGCATCTCCTGCAGCAATGCTCCACAAGTAATGTATTTGTTAATGTGTGTTAAGCTATTTGTTGCATTAAAGTAGAAACTCCTGGTACTGTATATCACCCACAGAGTGACTGCCACATTAATCTGAACCAAAATCTTATTTGTAGAAGTATATGCGGTGGTTTAAATAATACTAGGGTAAACACTATGGTACATAAATAATTTAAAAGCACATCCCTTTAATATAATTAGTCATTGGCCCACAGCCATTTTCATTCTATGCAAAGCAATATTCTGGAAATCTTTCATACTGAGTTGCCAAGAAGACAAAAGCTTTCATTTTTTTCCCTTGTGCTGTGATATTTTATTAGATCAGGAAGACTGACACTCTGCAATCAATACATCAGCCAGGAAGACTGTTGAACTGAACTGTCAAAACAAAAAGCTATGACCGAAACCTATTTTTATGAGGAGAATTCTGGGATGTAGGGACATCTTTAAAAGCCCACGTCCTCTGGTCTTGGTTAGCTTTACGTTCTGCCTAGATTTATTGTGACTGTCAAGAGCAGGTCAGTAGATTTAATTAATTCTGAGATGATTATATATGTTGGTATTGATGTGATGAATTTTAGACACTGCTGAAGAACAAGAGGAGACAACCATGAGATTAAAATGGAGTTTATGGTGCTTCCCCTTAGTGATCAAGAAAGGAAACTCTGTTTTTCTGGGACAACACATTGCTTGCAAGCACACTCCTTTTTAAGGACTATTTGAACAAGGAATTGCTTTTCTAACTTTTGTTACAGATCTAACCACGTATTGAAGCATCTAAAGCTTAGTTTATGCTTGTGCTTAGGACTGGTACCTCTGACTCGAACTGATGTTGCAGGTGTTCAGCATCTTGGTAAATTACAAATAGCAGACCTAGAAATAGTCCCTGGCCTTGTTCCACTGCACTGGAAGTCCCAGGCACCAAAGGACTCAGTGCCAGTATTGTTTTCAGAGCTGCTTGGAAATAGATGACATTTCAGGGACTGACAGAGTAACTGGCTGTGTGTTTCTGTTGTAAGTGAACCTCAGTATGATGGATTAATTCAGCCACTAAAGTAAAAATACATGTGGGTATATGTCTGATCATATCTCACACACTCTACAGCCCAGCTCTGTTAGCTTTTTGATGGATCTCACCACCTGGGCTGCTCCCTGGGAACCTCCAAGAGACATTCAGGTACATGTATTCACCCTACCACAGCACAAGAGCACTTCAAATATCAAGATTTTGCACGAAATAACAAGGTCTATTCCACTGAGGCTCTTGTCCAACCTACTTCTGTGTGGGAAGCTCTACTTCTGGCATTTGCTGTCCGGGGATGGATTGCCACCTCAGGCCTGTGTTCATCTTGTCTTTTGGGTATTGCTCCCTACATTGTCAGAAGATATACTGGATTTGTGTATACTGTCATATGTCACACACTGATACCCACGCGGGTTCTTATCACATTTATAGCTTTCCAGACATTTCATAACTTTTTAGCACAGAAGGGACTTATTTGGTCACCTCGTGTAACCGCCTTTTATTACAGACCACTAAGCTTCACCCAGGATAGCTCTAGCTAATGTCTGTACTTTAGAAAGAAAGGACTCCAATCCTCAGAAGAGAAGCAGGGCATACAAGACACCAGAAGGATAGCATAAGCCCTCTCAAGGGTCACTAGCTGAGACACCTGAGGTTTGGTAAGCAGATGTGTCATCTAACAGGGGCTGCTGAAATATCCTCTTCTTCCCAGCTGCAACCAGTTCAACCACAAACATCTGTCTTCTCTGAGCAGTTATGTCTCACCAGCATGGTGACCCTCTGTTGATTCAAAGGGAGGAGCCAAAATGAACAAAATGATCCTCACACAAAGCCAGGAATGCAGCTACTGGGGGAGGAAAGCCCTTCTTTGCCTCTCCAGGCAATCAGCTGAAATGCTGAAGCATGGGATTTGATTATCATCACTGCCTCCATGCAGTGCTACAAGTACTAAGGAGTCTGAGGAGAACCAAGAGAGACCTTAATTGCTTCACAGCCTCTGAAGGAAGTGAATAGACATGTATATCCAAGGAGAATATCGCCACCATTCAGACTGCACCTTCATCCTCGTTTACGGATTTAACTCCAGCTTCTGGAAGAAACACTACAGCCCATCCTTCTGAAAAATATAAACTCCCATCTGCAAGATCCCAAGTGAGTTTTCAGTCCATCTCTGCCACTGGAAAGCCTTTTCACTACTGAATGAATGTGAAATCTCCTTCCATATCCTATTCACCCCCTCCCCATACCACAGATCAGCTCACAAACTTCCACTGCTTTATTTTCACATCTCCCACTACTACCTCCCACTATGATTTAGTCCAATTATATCCCTCTTCCTTTAATCCTGACTTTTTCTGTTTTGTGTTTGAGACAATTTTTCCCAAGCTGTCCGAGCATGGGTGGACGTGATGTGGAAGACACTCCCTGAGAGCACAAAAGAGACAGATGCTTCCTGCTCTGCATCCTTGTACTTGGCTCTGGACCAGCCAGGAACAGGAATACCAGGAAAACATCCAACATGCTCAGTTTCCCTGTGGTAAAAGTGCGTGTTCTCATTGCAATATAAGCCGCAAAGGACTTGATATGAGATAAAACCTTCCAGCAGTCTTAATGGTTAAACAGTCAACTGCTGCAGGCGTGCATAGGCTCCTATTTTCAAAGACAGCAAATGGGTCTTATTTTCATGGGGGTGAAAAACAGCGTATCTGTAACTAAAGGCACCATATTGCCAGTCACACATAAAATTTTTAATTCACAGAACTGGGACCTTCCCATTCAACCCCCAAAAATGTCAGAATTGCTTAAACCTTGTAGTCATTCTGATGGAGTTTAACCTTCTTCTTCTTCTTCTTTTTTTTTTTTTCCATTTGTGCCACATATTTATTTCTAAAAGCTGCAGAACCTGCCCATTTTGCATGGGTTAGGTTCTGAGATGTCTTTTTCCTGAGTGGTTGATGCTGCCACCACGAAGTTGCAACAAGGCGTTATTCCTGCCAAACAGCGTATTTTCCCCTTCTAGTATAATTTTGGAAAATGAAGAAACAGCTTTGAATGAAAAAATTGTCAGCCTAAGATAGACGAACAGCCTGAAAAATTTCAGCACAAACATGTGATGCTTGGCAAAATCAGAAGCAAATGGGAAGAGCACTGGCAGGACTGAGGCAAATTTCATAACAGGGACTACTATCATGCCTGCTTATAAACAGACAGCCGCTCCATAAAGATTGTAATGAATGATGCCAGGATGATGGTATTTAATTATTCAGAATTATTTTATTTTTCACACAAATGTGCTTATTAAAAATTGATCCTAAAGATACTTCTTCTGCCATTCAGATTGCTTGCAAGTATACACCACAATCAATTAAATAAAAAAATTGTTCTTCTTGGTTTTAATGTTTGTGCTGTCTGATACTGTTCCACCTACTTTGCCATCTTATCCAGCCTTTCTGCCAGAGCTTTCCCCTTGCCCACCCACTCATGCAGCATTTGCTTCCCTGCTTCCCACCTGTTGTATCCTGCTGGCTTGTCTCTCAGAGCTACGGCCAGCACAGCTATCAAAATATTCCTTCCTTCAATCTTGTCTCACCTCTACCACCCCTTCCTTTTAGCCCTGATGTCCCCAACTTTGTGGCACAGCCATGACATTCAGATAGCAGTTCCCCAGTTTCCTTAGGCAAAGGAGTGACTTCTCGGTTACACAGACAGAAAATACCAGGCTTGTTCATGGGTTGGGGCAATCCCAAGCACAAATATGGTCTGGGCGGAGAATGGATTGAGAACAACTCTGAAGAGAATTACTTGGGTGTGTTGGTTGATAAGAAGCTCAACATGACCTGTCAACGTGCGCTTGCAGCCCAGAAAGCCAACACTATCCTGGGCTGTATCAAAAGCAGCGTGACGAGCAGGTTGAGGGAGGTGATTCTCCCCCTCTACTCCTCTCTCGTGAGACCCCACCTGGAGTACTGCATCCAGCTCTGGGGCCCCCAACATAAGAAGGACATGGACCTGTTGGAGTGAGTCCAGAGGAGAGCCACGGAGATGATCAAAGGGCTGGAGCACCTCCCATATGAGGACAGGCTGAGAGAGTTGGAGTTGTTCAGCCTGGAGAAGAGAAGGCTCTGGGGAAACCTTAGAGCAGCCTTCCAGTACCTGAAGGGGGCTACAGGAGAGACGGGGAGGCACTCTTTATCAGGGAGTGTAGTGATAGGGGGAGGGGTAACAGTTTTAAGCTGAAAGACGGTAGATTTAGATTAGGTATTGAGAAGAAATTTTTCACTATGAGGGTGGTGAGGCACTGGAACACGTTTTCCAGAAAAGTTGTGCATGCCCCATCCCTGGAGGTGTTCAAGGCCAGGCTGGATGAGGCTTTGAGCAACCTGGTCTAGTGGGAGGTGTCCCTGCCCATGGCAGGGGGTTGGAACTCGATCAGTTCTAAGGTCCCTTCCAATCCAAACCGTTCTATGATTCTATGATTCTCCTGTTGTCTTCCAGATCAGTGGTTCTCAGTGTGTGATACTTTGGGTCTCTGGGGGTCCCTTGCAAGTTGTATAAGGGACTTTTCCCTGGGCCAAAATCCCTGTGTCAGGAAGCAGAAAAGCATCTCACAGTGCTCATCACAGCTTTGAGGATGCTGGAGAGACACTTGTACAGCCTAGAGCTCCACCAGCACCAGTCTGGAATCTCAACTCGTCTATGTGTGATCAAAGCCATTTGTCACTGTGGCTGCCAGGTTGTCCCTAATAGATGGAGCCCTGTAGTAGGTCCAGATCAGA